GGACGGAGGTCAGAGAGAAGACTGAAGGGAAGGACGGAGGTCAGAGAGAAGACTGAAGGGAAGGACGGAGGTCAGAGAGAAGACTGAAGGGAAGGACGGAGGTCAGAGAGAAGACTGAAGGGAAGGACGGAGGTCAGAGAGAAGACTGAAGGGAAGGACGGAGGTCAGAGAGAAGACTGAAGGGAAGGACGGAGGTCAGAGAGAAGACAGAAGGGAAGGCCGGAGGTCAGAGAGAAGACTGAAGGGAGGTCAGAGAGAAGACTGAAGGGAGGTCAGAGAGAAGACTGAAGGGAAGGACGGAGGTCAGAGAGAAGACTGAAGGGAAAGGACTGAACTCTTGTGTGTGTTGGGGGGGTTTTACATTCTGGGTGACCCCAATAATAAGCAAGATCCGGTTGGGTTTGCCCTCTGTGTTGTGGGATGTGGGGTGTTGTAGTAGTCTCAGGTCTTCTATTGATAACCCGTCTGCTCCTTTTCCCATTCAGTCCACTGTTATGGTCCTGCGCAATATGGTTGACCCCAGAGACATTGATGACGACCTGGAAGGGGAAGTGACAGAGGAATGCGGGAAGTTTGGAGCAGTGAACCGGGTGATCATTTATCAGGAGAAGCAAGGAGAAGAGGAAGATGCCGAAATCATTGTTAAAATATTTGTAGAATTCTCTATGGTCAGCGAGACTCACAAAGCTATCCAGGCGCTGAACGGGCGCTGGTTCGCCGGACGGAAAGTGGTAGCAGAAGTATACGACCAGGACAGGTTCGACAACAGCGACCTATCGGCATGAAACCTCTCAGACTTTTACCCCTCCCCCTATTGTCCTCGTACTGTTTTATTTTATATGATTGTGGATTGTCCTCATTCTGCGGAGTAAGAACCACATGGAATAAAGCCTCTGGTTTTTTTTTTTTTCGTGATGTCTATTGGCCATTCTGCTGCTCCCGGAAGAGTCTATGGCCCGGGAAGTGTTTGTGGGGGGGGGGGTGATTATCTGTGTGTGTCTAGTACTGAGGGGGAGGGATTGTACTGAGGGGGAGGGATCTGGTGTGTCTAGTACTGAGGGGGAGGGATTGTAGCTGGGTATTATCTGTTCCCAGTGATAACAGAGGATGGATGCCAAGTGCAAAGCACCGCTCATCAGTTTGTATCAGTCTTGCAAAAGTATGTGGGCACGTGACCATCCGCCACCTATATGGTCAACAGTATGTGGGCACGTTACCATCCGGCTACCTATATGGTCAACAGTATGTGGGCACGTGACCATCCGCCACCTATATGGTCAACAGTATGTGGGCACGTTACCATCCGGCTACCTATATGGGCAACAGTATGTGGGCACGTGACCATCCGCCACCTATAGTCAACAGTGTGTGGGCATGTGATCATCCTGCTACCTATATGGTCAACAGTATGTGGGCATGTGACCATCCGCCACCTATATGGTCAATTGTGTGGGCACCTGATCATCCCTCTACCTATATGGTCAACAGTGTGGGCACGTTACCATCCCGCTACCTATATGGTAATCTGTATGTGGGCACGTGATCATACCGCTATGGTTAACACTATGTGGACACCTACCATTGACAGTCACACCTGTACAACTAAAGGTATGTGGACCCCCCTCTAAATGATTGAGTTTGTGCCTCCACTGAAGGAAAGCTATGACGCATACAAAGACAATTATCCTCTTCCAACCGTTTGGGAAGGTCGTGTTTTTTTTTTTTTTGTTCCACTATGACTGTCCCTTGTGTACAAAGCCAGCTCCATAAAGACAGGGCGTTACCAGTTTGGCATGGAGGAACTCGAGCGGCCTACAAAGAGCCCAGACTTCAACACTACTGGAACACCTTTGGGATGAATGGAGACACTTTGCAAACCAGGTCTCATCCAATATCAGAACCTGACCTCACAAACTCCCACAACGACCCTCCAAAATCTTGTAGAAAGCCTTTCATCATGGAGATAGGTGTGATGGTCAGGTGTCCACAATCTTCTGACCACGGAGATGGGTGTGATGGTCAGGTGTCCACATCCATTTGATTATGGAGATGGGTGTGATGGTCTGGTGGCCACAAGCATTGACCATGGAGATGGGTGTGATGGTCTGGTGGCCACAAACATTTGATCATGTAGATGGGTGTGATGGTCAGGTGTCCACAATCATTTGATCATGTAGATGGGTGTGATGGTCAGGTGTCCACAATCATTTGATCATGTAGATGGGTGTGATGGTCAGGTGTCCACAATCATTTGATCATGTAGATGGGTGTGATGGTCAGGTGTCCACAATCTTTTGACCATGGAGATAGGTGTGGTGGTCAGGTGTCCACAAACATTGGATCATGGAGATAGGTGTGATGGTCTGGTGTAGTTTCGCCACCAGCTGTCGCAGAGTGCAGATGTAAATAAGGTGACGCAGAGTGTGGAGATCAGTAAGGTGACGCAGAGGTCAGTAAGGGGACGCAGAGCGGAGGTAAATAAGGTGACGCAGAGTGCGGAGATCAGTAAGGTGACGCAGAGTGTGGAGGTCAGTAAGGGGACGCAGAGCGGAGGTAAATAAGGTGACGCAGAGTGCGGAGATCAGTAAGGTGACGCAGAGTGCAGAGGTCAGTAAGGTGACGCAGTGCGGATCCCTTCCCGCTCTGCTGAATGTACCCAGGCAGCCAATGACAGTGCTGCACTGTCCCTCCCAGCCAATTGCAGCAGAGGTGGGCGGAGGAACATACAGGCTGCCGAGGAGCAATCGCTTGTCACTTGCAGCAGCGGCCACTTTTATGGGGAATCGGGGGGTGGGGGGGGAGGTGACGCCTATGATCCTCGCACAGCGGCCGGGACATACAGCTGTCACTGAGTTTACCGCTGTCCAGTGTAAAAAAACCGGCATTGTACTTGTAGTGTGCCGTTTTCTTTACACTGAACGGCAGTTAACTCGGTGACAGCTGTATGTCCCGGCCGCTGTGCACGGGGATGTACTCCTGCATCCGCCACTGAGTCTGGACACTACCGCCGCGGCCGCTCTGTAGTTGCAGCGCCTGAGCAGGAGAAGAGGGAACAGAAGTGAGCAATCGCCGCGGTGGTCGTGTCCCATTCCTGCCCCGTGCAGTTTTCACTCGCCAATTCAGAGGGGGCGAGTGGAAATTTTGAGGCCTGGTCAATGGTATGTGGACACCCGACCATCACATCTACCCATATGGTCAATGGTATGTGGACACCCGACCATCACATCTACCCATATGGTCAATGGTATGTGGACACCCGACCATCACATCTACCCATATGGTCAATGATATGTGGACACCACACCATCACATCTACCCATATGGTCAATGATATGTGGACACCTCACCATCACACCTACCTATAAGGTATGTGGACACCCAACCATCACATCTTTCTATATGGTCAATGGTATGAGGACACCTGACCAACACACCTTATCCATATGGTCAACAATGTGTGGACACCTGCTGTTGACCATTACACCTACCTCTATGACCAACAGTATGTGGACCCCCCCCTCCAAATGATTGCGTTCTGGTGCCTGGTAACTGGTAATGCTACAGCTGCCAAAAACATTAGACAATTGTTCTCTTCCAACCTTGTGGTAGGAGTTTGCAGAAGATCCTTTTCTGTTCCACCATGACTGTCCCCTGCGTACAATGCCAGCTCCATAAAGACATGGTTTGGCGTGGAGGAACTCAAGTGTCCTTCACAGGGACCTGACCTAAATGGTCCATTTCACGGACCATTTCTAAATGAAGTGATTGGACCGCTGCAGTCTTTGCCCTCAGTTTAGAGCTGCAGGTTGATCACATGACCTGGTAATAACGTAGCTCTATCTTCATCTGTGTCCCTGGCCCTCAAAGTGCTTCTCAAAGCATGACCACCTGTCTCTGTATCCCAGTCCATACCTTCCATCTGACTACTTTCTAATGAGCTTTCAACTCCTCAAGGTGTCCATAGTCTACAGGTCAGAAGGTCACATTATGGGCAGCCTGTAGTATGTAATGTGAGGGTCACCTTTGATGATTACCTGTATCAATGGATGCTGAGGGTGCAGAGCATTGGACTGATCATGTGATTATATTCGAAGGACGGAACCTCTGCTCTCATTTTGGAAGATTTCATCAATTGCGGTGGAGGACCTGCGGTGTGCTATCAATGTGCTATGAGCTGGTGTTATAGATGGCCTGGGCGTCCGGGCCCTGGAAGGCTTTGCTGCCTCCATTGAGCTGAAACCAGTTTACAGCCGCTTTATATATCTATTCCTGGATTAACCCTTCGCTTGTAATAACAGGTAGGACCAGCCGCAGGAGCCTAAACAGCTGTCAGCGTATAAAATATTGAACAGAACGGTTATTTCCTCATTAATATTTCATGTTGTTTATTTTCCTGCTCATAAAAGACCCGGCCCGGCTCCCTTCATACACGGAAAACACATTCCTGCTGACAAATGTACCTACAGCATGTTTGGCTTGTGGGGGCTTTCAGAAAAGATATTCAGTGCAAAGATAGGATGTTGTCACTTGTTTTGCAGGATGGGGATGGTCCGTGCAAGGGAACGTATAGTCCGATTCACAAAGCCTTGAAGAATATCTAAGATTAACCCTTGCAGTGGGTCTACCCCCGAAATGCAAGGGTTAAATGCTTGTTTTGTTAATTTTATATCCGCGCTTTATGGGCAATCTATATAAAGTGTTTCTGGGGTTAATTAAAAGCTGCTGTACTGAAGACAACTAGGTCCACAACTATTTTTAACTAAATATACAGCTAATAGTGACTATTAGCGCTGTATATTTACTTGAAAAAAATTAAATGCTTGTTTTGCCTGGGGGGGAGGGGGAGGATAAAGAAGAAATACTCACCTGGTCCTTAGTCACGCCTGGCTGCTAGACCGGTCGCGGCAGTCTCTTTCCCCCTGGGTTCCGGGGGTCTAAGGACCTGTGACATCATTGCGTCTAATACAGGTCTATTAGACGTGAAGACGCTCAGAACATACCACAGCTGGAGCGGAGTTGGGGAGAGGTCAGCGGCACTGCCATAGGACACCAAGGATCATGTGCTCCTGGTTCTTCTTTAACATAGGGATAGGCAACCTCATCACCCGCATTCCAAGACTGACAGTTACAGATATGACTCCCAGAGGCAGAGGCATGTTGGGAATTTTAGTTAAAGTAGAACTATGGGGTTAAGGCTTTTCCCCATAGTTCTCCTTAGGGTAACGGGAGGATACAAACTAGCGTCCTCCCGTCACCCTAGGCTCGGTATACCGCGAGCTACTGCTCCCTATATACTAAGACGCCGCAGCTGAAGCGGATCCCGACAATTAAGCCGGGAACCGCCCAGCTGCGTGACTGACAGCTGGCTCTGCCTATCTAGAGGCAGAGCCAGCTGTACCCTCCCCCGTCCGTTCCGCCAGTCAGCGCTGGCGGATCGGAGCGGGGAGGGGGGAATCCAGCCTCTCCCCCTATCACGGCAGAGAGCCGTGACAGGATCGAGAGGTGAGCGAACGCCGGTATGTGTTCTCTCACCTCCCGATCTACTGAGCCGACCTATGACAGTCTCATTGTCACAGGTCGGCTAGAACTATAAGGTGAGTGGAAAGCACCCGCCTCATAGTTCTCCTTTAAAAAATATCTGGAGGGCCGGAGTTGTCCACCCCTGCCCAAGACAAAAGTGAGAATTTAACCCTTGCAGCGTGGGGGTGGCCCTATTCCAAAGGTTGAGTTCTTCCTTAAAGCTGAACTCGGGTGAACAAACAACACTACCCATGCAGTGGTGGTTTGAGACTTCAGCCCCCACTACAAGGGTTAAATGCTCGTGTATGCCTAGGGCAGGGGTAGGCAACCTCGGTGGTACTCCAGCTATGCTGAAACCACAAATCCCACCATGCCTCTGCCTTTGGGAGTCATGCTTGTGGCTGTCACATTGTTTGCAATGCCACATGGGACTTGTAGTTCCACAACAGCTGAGGTCACCTACCCCTGCTTTACTGAAGCCTGAGTTCAGCTAAATACATTCCAGCTGCAAACAAAAAGTGAGCAAAGTCTTACAATCTGTATTCTTTAGAAAGCATCCTCAGCCTGAGAAGAAAAGCCAGCCCCTTGCCAGCATGCTGCCGAGAAGGGCCCTTGCTCTGAGTGGGGAAGCAGAGGTCTCTCTGCAGAGGTCTGACGCACTCCCTGCTTAGTCTAAGCTACATCTCTGCAATCAGCAAGGGAACATGAGCTTTTCTAATTGCACAGCTATAGCTCTGACGCAGGGCGACCACTGCTTCCACACAGAGAGCAAGGGCCCCACTCTGCAGCTACTGGCAGGGGACAGACTTATGTACTCAGGCTGCGGCTGCTTTCTACAGAAAGCAAGCTAAAGGCTTAGCTCTGTTCTGCGGCCGCTGTCAGAATACAAAGGAAATAGCGGGAAAATCGGGGGTAAGCGTTGGTGGAGGATTCCTTTCTATTTTTTCCGTCCAGCCAGCAGGTTGAACAAAAAACATAAAGCCCGAGCCGCCGAGTGTAGTTAAGCCCCAAAAGTTAGCTGCCACCTCCTTGCTACACATTGGTTGTTGCTCAGTTGCAGTTTGTAGTTCAGTTCTCCACTCACCTGGTGTGTTTAAGGCAAAAAAAAAATATAGCACCTGTTCATTCATAACTGGGGACACATAGTACTATGTGTCCCCAGTTATTTACAAACACTGGAGTGATCAGCTATCACTCCAGTGTTTGCTCTGTACATAGGATTGGTAAATATCACTGATATTTACCGATCCTCCAGCTCTCCATCCAGAGCGCTGAAAC